AGGTGGATGAGTGGCTTTACTCTTAGAGATAAGATTCAAAATGAGCATATATGTGAAAAGGTTGGAGTATCTCTAGTGGAAGATAAGATTAGAGAGAGTCGCCTTAGATGGTTTGGTCACATAAAACGGTGACCTTCCGATGACCCGGTTAGGAAAGTAGAGGTATTAGATTTGACTTATGTTAAGAAGGGTAGAGGTAGACCTAGAAAGACTTGGTTATAAAATATTAGAAATGATCTTTATTTATTAGATTTAAATGAGAATTTAACTTTTAATAGGGTACAATAGAGGAAAAGGATTCATGTAGCCGACCCCACCTAGTGGGATAAAGGCTTGATGTTGTTGTTGTTGGAGGAGGAGGATATTATGTCCATTTTGCGAGTTATTAATAAAAGCATATTTTAAGGATTTTGGGTTAACTTTACTCTCATGACATGGAATGCGGACTAAGGAAAAATAACCAAAAACTTTGAGGGGAATAGTGGATGTGTTTATTTGTAGAGCAAGTTTTATTGAGGATTTTATAGATTATTTTGAATTTTGGTATTCTTAATGGTATGAGAATAATGAGGCATGCAACCATAAAGATAACCTCTTCCTAATAATATATTGGACCTAACTTCAAAAAGGTGTTCAGACCTTCCAGAAGGTGTTTATTTTATCTTTCTATAATCCCATTTTGTTAAGGGGCATAAATACAAGAACTTTGGTGAACAATCTTTTGCTAAAGATGATAGCCACATGAATTTAAGGAAATATTTTTTTTTTTCTCTTGAAGACTTAAATTTGAGTTCTAAATTGGGATTAAATGTTGTTATGAAATTTTTCAAAAACATGACAAGTTTAAGATTTATTCTTCATTAAGAAAATCCAAATATTTCTAGTGTGATCATTAATAAATGATATGAACCATATAGTTTGTGAGATATTGGTGACTCGAGATGGTCTCTAAATATCATATAGTCAACCAATCTTAGTGAGAATTTTTAAGCACACACGTTAAGGGTTATAACCATGGTCTTAATCCTCTTATCACCCTTATATTGTAATTATTGTGCCTCCTCTTTCTATTCTAGCCTCAAGCCTCTCTTGAGGACTTTTTTTATATTTTTTGTAAATAACTTTGATTTATTTCCATTATAAAAAATTTAGATAAGGATATATATAATTGCATATTTTGTAAGTAATAGAGTAATAAAATTCAAAATAGGCTTTTTATATTTCTATTTCTATATTATCTAATATGGGGACCCAAGAGATACTGACTATCAGCCAATAAATTGGCAGCTGGACATGAGTTATCTCAGTGATTGATAAGAATAAGAGATTAGTGCACTAGGGCTCAACTATGTTAAGCGTCAAGTAACATCCCTCCTTGGGGGGCCATTTCAAAATTCTTAGTCAACAATAAATTATTTTCCACATTAAATAATTAATCATATTTGGGATTTTTCTATCATATTATATATTTCATCTCTCAATTTGAATCATTTTTTGTTTGTCTTGCTTGTTAGCATCATCTTAGCATTTGTGATGTAAAACATCTTAGTTATAATTTGCTTAAGGACTAGCATACCTTTTTGCTTTCTAGAATCTTCCATTGCCATGTTATTACTCAAAGGGCTGTAAGAAGGAGGGATATGAATAATATATTATGCTTTTGAGTTAAGTGTTTGTTCTCTAATTTTCTTGTTCTTGCTTCATTTTTTTCCTTTGGATCCACTACATCAATTGATATCAGAGCCATGAAAAAGATGGAGTAAAGAAGAATATGGGTTGTACACAACAATCTACGCCAAAGAAGATGGGTTGTTGATGACGATCAACGCCAAAGAAGATGGGTTGTCGGCGATAATTGAATCCACAAAGCCTTTTGGGAAGCTCAAGTGAATGCATCACTTAATCAATTAGATGATTTATGTTCTAATTTCATTCGTTCCGTAGAGAGAATACACACATCGGCAACCATACCGGCAGTGAGAAGAGCTTTTCCAGCCACTACTGAAGAGGTGTTCGATCAGCTCGGGTCGCACAAGAGCTCACACTTGGGTCCGCCTCCCTTGTCTTTTTTCAAGCATGCTCGAAGACACACAAGATCATGTGAGGAACCTAACATCTGTTCTCTTCACTCAATTTGATCTTCAGACGAACGCATGGGAGATGTCTTCTCCTATTGGATCGACTAGGGCACGTAGCAGAAAGAAAAATGAGATTCTGACTCCACTTCTCTTCGTCATAGCCAAGCATAATCAGCCATAGCCAGGTGCAAAATATTTTGCATATGCCATGAAATTTCCCCTTCTCAAGAAATCGATGTCGGATCTCACAAAGTTATCTATTTATTCCACAATCCCCTTCTTCATCCCGCTCTAATGTAATTCTGAGCCACAACCAGGTGCAAAATATTTTGCATCTCCCATGAAATTTCCCCTTCTCAATAAAGTGATGTCTGATCTCACAAAGTTATTTATCTATTCCACAATCCCCTTCTTCATCCTGGTCCAGTGTGATTCTGATCCCAATCAGACCTGCGATCATGATCCCGATCCGCTCAAGAAATTCTCATGGAATTAGACTCCAGATCCTCATCAACTCAAGCACGATTCTGCACCCATCCCCACTCCCACTTTGCTCCCATGCCCGCTCCTATGGGAGTCAATTCGGGTCAACGGGTCGGGTTCGGGCCAAACACCCGGGCTTAAACAGGTCGACCCAAACCAAACCCATTTAGTTAAATGGGTTCGAATTCAAAACTCGAACCCGACCCGCCAACCCACTAGAAAATATTTTTCAAATTTTTTTTCTTTTTACTTAAGCAAATTATTAAAAAATGAAAATAAATAACTTAAAATTTAAATTATATTCACAAATTCTTATGACCTACAACTTTCAAATTACATGTTAAAAAAATATTTTACAATTTACAATTTATAAATAGTCAAATTCAACTTAACTAAACAAGTATAAAGCTTAATTTCTCCCTTGCACTCTTTCAGTACCATGGCTAATGGTTCCATGCATAATCATCAATTGCTGACCATTCACCTATAAAGAACTTGTAATGTTGCAAAAGAAAGAAAAAACAAATAAAAGTAATAATTCATTGATTGCTACTTGCAAGCAACCAAAGGCCAAAGCCTCAGGCTTAGGGTGAACCTAGCAAAGAAACATCTGCGGCAACAACTCCAAAAATTGTACCCTTCAAAGTTACAAATTGGTAATATGAGTTTAATCAATATAATTTAATAGTATCTGCTCAAGCCATAAAAATCACTTATACCAATTTATAAATTGGTTGCATCTAAATATGTGCTGTTACTGGTGTATAACTTCACCAAGTTCTTCATCATAGCCATTAAATTTAAAACCAAGTGCCCAACAACACTCAGCAGCATAATAACCAATAACAGGTTGCAGCTCTGCAGTTGGCATCCACTAGCCCAAGAGTCCAACAACACTCTGCAACAGAAAAACCAACAGCAGGCAACTGCTTTCCAGCTGGCAGCCACTAGCCCAAGTGCCCAAACAGCATTACAGCACTTTAGTCTACAACATGCAGGTAAAACAACACTTCAGTCTACACTCTACAGCAACAGAAAAATCAATAGCAGAAAAACAAAATGCATACATCATCAGGCTCTTAAAGGCCAAATAGCAGCATTCTGAAAAACCGGATTACTCGCAACAATTGTATTTAAATCCTTCATCTAAACAAAAAAAAAATTATAACTCCATATTACAACTTCACATTACAGGATTGCATAAAAAAGAGAAATTAATAGGCAAAAAAGTAATTATTTGATTATTTGTTTAACCCTAAACTCTTTCTCTAAAAAAATCACCAAGTAAGCATAAAGCCATAAATCATCACAACAAGTCGACATGGCTTATGAATTTAAATTTATGTGGTATGAACTAAATAAATAATAATCATAACAATAGCTGAAGTAGTGAAGTGAAGTGTTTAACAGCAAATTAGCAATAGTGCAACACTACATAACATGATAACAGACTAGCAGAGTCACTAAGTAAGGCAGTCACTAACAGCAAGCTGACAAGCCCTACTCAAAATATCCAACATAAAAGATAGCAACAAGCAGCTCAGTGATGTTGTGACGGTCATTTTCATTTTTCATCATAACCATAACATAAAGAATTTCAACTTCCTGACCTCAAGTTCACAAAGAAACTCTAATCAACATTTCAACCCACCTCAGGCTCTCAATCTCAATCATTATAAATTTAAAAGAAAACCCCTAATCAGCTAATCTTCCATCTACATATTTTATAAATCACATAATCACCAAATCGATAACGCTCAAAGCCTCAAAAATCGAGAATCAAAACTCGAAAATTGATATAAAAAGAAATAACAAATCTTCCATCAAAAAATTAAATAGAAATAAAAAACAGTGTCTGACCGTCCCACCGAAAGTCCAAAACAACAAGAGGTCAAGAGTTAATGAAGATAGTACCGACCGTCATGAATGAGAAAGCCATAAAGGAGGAGGATTCGAGAGGTCGATAGCATAAGATAGCAAGAGAACTCCACTGATTCAGCGCTTCTGAAGACCCAGAGAGAGCGAGGAGACGAGGAGTGCAAACCCTAAAATGGAATAAGACGGAAGGGGCCAGACTCCAAAGGCGAAGACTCGAAGTCTCAAGCAGGCGAATAGTTGGCTCTCGACTCGAAAGTCGAAATATAAGTATTATTGTATTAGAAGTTGTGGGTTAGTCGGGTCGCCAATAGGTTGTCGGGTTGACCCGAACCCGACCCAAAATTTAAACGGGTCAAGAAATTAGACCAAAACACGACCCGTTTATTTCACGAGTTGATCATAATCCGAATTTTTTGAGTTAGATTCGAGTCGAATTTTCAAGTCATGTCAGCCTACCATGTGATCCTTTATCCTTCTTCACAGCCTGTCGTGACTCACTACTCGTTTGCTCTTTCTCGCCTTTACACCCCCGATGTCCTCGCATTCATTCCCGGCTTCCCGCCTTCCTCACCAATGGTATGCTTGTTGAATGGAACCCGAGCACAGACCCCTACTTCGCCAAGTGCTCCGATTGTCGCCATTCAATTGCCGGCCTAGCTGCTAGCCCACTTAAGATGATCTACCATTTTTAAAACCAGACGATCCTCAACGCAATCGGGAACGCAAGCAGAGTCTGCATTACGGACTTCAGCATATACTTTGGTTTCCACTGGTCTCGCTTCATGAAGATTTGATCAGCCCTTTCTGGTAGGCCTCCGAAGCTTCGCATCGCCGTAATCGACATTCCCTAGCCTGATTTCTGGCCAGAAGAGAGAATAGAGGAGACCGGTTGCTGGCTGTATCTTTATGCCGAGAGATTCCACATCCCTTTTGTGTACCAATTTTTGGCGTCAAAGCTTGATGAGGTGAAGGTTGAGGACCTCCACCTCGAGGAGGAGGAGGTCTTAATCATCAATTGCTTGCTCCGCATAACTTCTTTTGGCGATGAAATCATGAACATAGACTTTCCGAGAGATAAGTTTTTAAACAACCTAAGAAAACTCAACTCTGTTTTGTTTGTGAATGTGGCTACAATGGAACCTTTCTCCATTTTTTGTGATGAGATTTCGTGAGGTTTTGTACCATTTATCTGTATTGTTTGATATGTTGGAGGTAACTGCACTGAGAGAGTATGAGCAGAGGATGCTGGTTGAGAAGGTCTGTATGGGAATAGTATGATTGATATAATCTCTTGTGAGGGAGCAGATAGGTTGGAAAGTCCATAGACGTATAAGCAAACACAGGTGAGGTGCTTGAGGGCTAGGTTCACGCAGTTGCCTTTTAGCTCAAAGATTGCGATTATACCTGTTAAACTTGTCCCTATTAGTATGTCTATTAAGCCTGATAAAATTACGATTGCTAGTGTGTAAAGGCTTGTGCTTCTATCAGAGCTTTTGATCAGGGGAAATGGTCGCATATCTATTTGAGAATGCAAAGATTGGCTTTTGACGTTGTGATTGGTACTGCTCTCATAGACATGTATGGGAAGTGTGGGAGTCTGGCAAAAGAAAAAAGAAATTTTTTAGGAGATTCTGGAAAAGGATGTTTTGACTTGGACTGCAATGATCTCTGCTCTTGCAGTGCATGGGTGTGGTGAGGAGGCTTTCATTCCTTCTGAAAAAAAATGGTGAGAATGGGTTTAAAGCCAAATTATGTCACATTTGGTTCACTTTTAAGCGTATGTGCTCACTCTGGCTTGATGGAAAAAGGCCATTGGTGTTTTGATTTGATGAAAGGAGTCTACTTGATAGAGCCAGAAGTTCAGCATTTTTCTTGCATGTTTCTTAAATGGTTGATTTACTTGGTAGAGCTGGGTTATTTTCAAGGAAAATTATTCGGTGCGGAGTACGCACCGCCCACACAAGTACTGGGTACCTAGCGGTACACAGCGGTACCGAGTGCCGGTACATAGCGCCGAACAATACTTGTGCGAAAGGTTCTCCCCGTCCGCACTCCGCACCTAATAATCTCTCTATTTTCAAAGGCTGAAACATTCTTCAGATCAATGCTAATGGAGCCTCATTCTTTAGTTTGGGGAGCATTGCTTGGTATGTGGAGCTGGGAAAAAGAATTGTTGGTTATGTAGGGTAGGGGTGTCAATATTGGACCTGACCCGAAAATCCGACTCAAAAATTTCGGGTTTGGGTTGACCCGAATCCGAAGTGGGTTGGGTTCGGGTCCGGAAAACGGGCCCGTTTGAAAAACCGGGTTGGGTTCGGGTTGACACGTGAACCCGGGAATGACCCGGAATGACACAGTAACCCGTCTGCCCAGAATGCCCCCCCCCCGCCTGCCCTGCCTTCCCTGACTGACCCGCACCCGCCTTCCCTGGCTGCTCGGCAGCATCGCGTCCAACGCCGTGTCGTGTGTCGCCGACCACGTTAGTCGCAGGGAAGTTCCGCTTCAGTTTCACGTCACGTGCGTCCTGCGTTAGTCGTCGGCCCATTGCTGTTGCCGACCCGCCGCTGCCGGCATCTGCGGGTTGGGTCGGGTTCGAGTTCAGAAAATCGACCCATTTGCAAAAACGGGTCGGGTCGACCCGAATCCGAATAGCTCCGGGTCAATTTCGGGTTCGACCCGAACCCAACTCGTGACCCGAAATTGATCACCAAATTGCAGAATATGTCTCTCACATACAAAGGTTTTGACCTAGGACTAATTCTTACATCTACCTCGATCGAGTCGAAATCTTCTGACATAAGGGGAGTATGATGTGAAACATTTTAGTCATAGTTTGCTTGAGGACTAGACCTTTCTACTTTCTAGAATCTTTCATTAGCATGTTACATACAAGTGTTGTAAGAAACCGGGATTTGAAGAATATATCATGCTTTTGAGTAAAGTATTTGTTCTCTAATTTTTGTATTATTGCATCCTCTTCTTCCTTTGGATCCACAACATCAATTTGCATGAAATATCTAATTATTTTCATATTACTTATTCATGTTTATTGCAACACATAGTAATATGATTTTGTATTTATATAATTGAATCATATAATATTTCTAACACTTATGATATTTGATAACAGGATAATATAATGCCGCACTTAGAAATCTTTTCATATGTGGATCCTGATGCTCTTGAACCATCAGAATCAGTTAAAAGAGCAATGAAACTACCAGTCCACATCAGTGCCTGGAAGCTTATGAAACTAGACTCAAATGAAGCCATGAGAGCTTCAGCCAAGGCCCGAGCATCTTCTTCTTTCTTGAGACCAATTAACTCCCCAATGGAGAATGATTCTGATCATGTTCGCTCAAGCAGGAACACTAGCGGTATCAATAGCAGAATAAGATTTTGTTTGGGATAACTTTCGTCTGTTTTATAAAGTAGTTTTTTATACAAAATTGTTTGACAAATAAAATTGTGCACTGAAAAACTATTTTAAAAAGCAATAAGAAAGTTGTTCGAAATGAAACTTAAGCTTCGTTTAGGACGGCTTTTTTCCTGCTTCTTAAAGCGGCTTTTTAGTACAAAATTTTTAATTTTTGTACTAAAAAGCTGCTTTTAGAAGCAATAAGAAAGTCGTCCCAAACAAAACCTTGGTTAAGTAGCTTCTGATTTCATTAGGAGGATTTTTGCAGGATTAGCCATTTTTTAAGTGGTATCATTCATCTTTGTTAGGGTTTGCTGCAAAATATTATTATTCAGAAATATTATTATTCAGTTTAATTTTCTGCTTCAAGATCTGTTAGCCAATGCAAATCATTCCGATATCAGAGGGCAGTCAAAATTCTTTTAGCTCAGCTTCTATGATGACGGTCTATTTGGGATAATTTTTCTTATAATTTTGCTTTTTTAGATCGCAATCATAATTTTCTTTTACAATTATTTTCTCGTTCATTTCAAAAAAATTATAGCTTTTTGAATAATAAAGGCTAATTAGGCTTCCTTTGCGTATTTTTTTTTATAAAATTTTTTAATTTTTATATTAAAAAACTATTTTAATAAGCAGTAAAAAAATCGTCCTAACAAAGACTTAGACACTTAGGCTTCGTTTGGGACAGCTTTTTTATTGCTTTCTAAAACGGAGTTTTAGTACAAAAATAAAAAAATTTGTACTAAAACTCCGTTTTAGAAAGCAATAAAAAAGCCGTCCCAAACGAACCCTTAGACTCCATTTGGGATGATTTTCTTTTTGCTTCTTAAATTAGCTTTCTAGTATAAAAATAAAAAATTTTATACTAAAAAGTTGCTTTAAAAAGTAGTAAAATGCCATCCCAACAAAGCCTAATTTTTGTGTGAAAAAGTTTTTTATTGCTTCTTAAATTAGCAGTAAAATAATTTTTAGCGCAAAAAATTCTTGAAAGCACTAATAAAATAGTGAATAAAATGTCTTAAATAAAGCTTAATGGTAGGTTCCCTATCTGCCAAATGGAAGGCTTTTTAAGCTATATGTATGAATTTATGCATTAACTGCTTGAAACTACAGAGTAAACAAACGCGTTTAGAGCTTAATGCCTATATATATATACTTCTTTGAATAAAATATTTATTATTCAACTAATTAAAAAATTTTTAATTCTTGTTATGATATTCAAATATAAAAGTAAGGTTTTATATGAAATAAATTTTTTCTATTTTTAAGAATAATAGTTTGTAGAAAGTAATGTCTTTAAAGTTAATATTTTTCCTTTAATTTTATTTTAATATTTTTTTATAAATTTTTAATATAAATAAAATTAATAATATGCACGAATGCGATATTGATTTTGATCGTTTGATCATTAATTGAATTTATAAAAAAATTTCATAATAAAAACAAATGAAAAAATATCTGTTTAGATACTATACATAAATTTTGAAAATGGATGAATTAAATAATAGTTTTCATGTATTGGCTGATTTTTTTTATACAATATATTGATGAAAATAAATTTTTAAAAGGATTTTACGAAATTGTTTTATCATTTATGTACATTCAACCATTTTTATGAATATTTAAATCACCAAAAAACCAAATCAAACTCGATTCATAAATAATTATTATGTATTAGATCATAATTAACTGTATGATCTGGAAAATAAATATTATATTATTATATCTACTTTATTTTATAATTTGTAAAAATCTTTTATAAAAATATAAATTTAAAAATATCATGATTCATGCATGTTATAGTCAACAAAATTACATACATACCATGACTCTTAATCTATTATTCTGTCCATTTCCTTCAAGATAAGTATCTTATAAGTTATAACTAATAACAATTTTTTAAAGATAATTATAAATTATAAAATATATATATCTCAAATAAGTAATCTTGAAAAATAACTTCCCATTTAACAGATGTTGCGATGAATCTTTAACAATAAAAAATAAAATTTTATTAACTTTTTTTTAATCTTTTAATACATAGTCGATTAATATATTTGGATCAGGTCCTATAATTTTTCTCAATTTTTTATTTTTTTATATAAAAATTAATTTTTTATAAATTTAGTTTTACATCTATGCTAAATTTTTTATTCAAAATTAAAGTTTATAATTTTTTAACATCTAACCAACTTTCTTTTGGACATTTAGGCCTTCAAATCGAAGAGAAATTATTCTATGCAGAGATCGGACGCAGCTCTACGTCCGGAGACGAATTAAGTGCAGCCACATCAGCACAGTACCGAATTGTACCAAACAATACCGAGCCACGATACAAAGAGAATGGGTGATGTGGCGCATTCTGGTTGATATCCGAATGGCGTTCAGCATCCGCACAGAATAATTTTTTTCAAATCAAAAGCCTCTTATTAGAAAGTCAATACTCCCAACCAAGAGATCAAAGAGAACCGTGTACATCTAGAAGACTTGATAAACATTGAGGAAATAAGATAAAATAAAAAAGAAAAAGTATAAAACAATCATGTTGATCAAATTGTAAGGTCAGCTTTAAAATTTAGTACTTTGTGATCGAATTTGATTAAGACATAATCATCATTAATTTATTTAAGAAGTGCTTGGATTTATCAGAAAATTATATGTTGAAGCAACGCCAAATTTATGTGACAATTGCACAAGCTCTTCCTTTAAATTATGAATATGAAATACTATTACGTGTTTTGGTGAGATTTGGCTGAAATTTGATGAGGTTATAAAATTGTCCCAACCTAATAAAAATTTACTTCTCTAGTTGCATCATTTATATATTAATTACTAATGATCTTATTTTTAATGAACTATAACATTGTAATTAAGCTTAATATATATGAGTAATTTATATACGTCAAAGGGAATAGTTGTGCAGACATGTACTTAGGGCTGTCAAAATCGGGTCACAGATCGGGTTCGGGTCCAACCAAAAATTGACCCGACACTACTTGACTCGACCCACTTCGGGTCCGGGTCAACAAGACACGACCCGCCTGCGGTTGTAGATTTGGGGAAAAAGACAAGGCTTTTGAACATTATTAGCAACGCCTCTACCGGTACGAGCGACTACTGGGGGAGATGTAATCAGATCAAAGAGGCAAACAGAGGGACGGCAGCGGGAGCTAGCTTATTCAACAAAATCCTGTAATCCGGTGATGGCGATAGGGGTTTGGCAGCCGGTGGTAATCCGGTCACTGACGTGCTTATTCAGCCAATCTGGTGGTAATAAGGAGTTCAGCAACCTGTATAATGTGGTCACTGACGTTGTTATTCAGCCAAGCCAAATCCCGTAAATCTGTCGAAGTCCAAACCAGAAGAGGCCGTCAACTGGGAGCACGAGGTTGAGTTCGAATGCGACATGGGCTGAGTCCAAATGTCGAATGCATCATGACTCACGGCGTGACCGCGGACTGCGACACGACTCACGCGGGTCAACATGGTTGGTTTTTGGTTTTTGGGTCAACCTGAACCCCACCCGTTTCACAAACGGGTTGACCCTAACCCGAAACTTGCGGGTCGAATTCGAGTTGGGTTTTGGGTGTATAACCCTATGTAATTTTGATCGAGCAAAGTGCAGGCAACGGAAAGTGGTTTATAGGACACAGAACAATTGAGAGCTGGTGCGACTCTACAAGAAGCTTTGGTAATTTGGCAGCCGATAGGAAGGAGAAGCCAAAAATAGAGGTGTAAACGAGTCAAGTTTCTATCTTATCAAGGTAAGCTTGTTTAAACATTTCATAAAGTGATTAATATCAATGTTTTAAGAAAATAATTAGAAGCAATATAATGCTATCTTCATTAAAAGGTAAATAAAATATGCTTACCATACTTTATGATAGGAATTTTAGCAGAATAATTGGTGCACATAATGATAAATTCAATTCAAAATATCTACATTCAGTTATATGAATGAGTTATACTTTCAACCTCATAAGTTCTCATGTAATTGGTAAGAGAATGTCCATCTCTTTATCATCTTCTTCTTCCTACAAGAAAAAGAGCACCACATATTCATCTACTATTGTTCAAATTTTAAGCAAATGAGTTTAATGAGTGAAAGTATGTTGTGATCAACACAATTACCTCTTAGGGTCAACGTAATAGGCCTTCTCTTCAATCAATAGTGACGACGAAGCCACTGTTCTCCCGGTCCGTCGCAAGTGCTCAATCTCAACTCTCTCTCTCACACACACTCTGACATTTGTGAGTCTCTCTCTCTCTTGAGCTCCCTAAAAAAATTTCATATTTAATTATTATTATTATTTTTTTTTTTTTACTTTCTTGTGAAGAGTAGGCTATTATAATAATTAAAACAAATTATTCAAAGTGTCGTTTGCTAGATTTATTTGTGCCCTTGGGTGAGTGGAGGGTAATGGCTCTGTTTGTCCTATTTGTGTGTCTTTTTCATGATTCAATGCTTAATTATTGAGATCTGGTCTAGACCAAGTTAAATCTTCAAATCTCGTTTGGTAGGAATGATAGAGGAGAAATTAAAGAACTAATTATAATATTTTCAAGACTAGGATTATAATTTTTTACTCAAGTTAAAATCTTCTTCATTGAACATATTGGCCTTTTGTTCTTTTGTATTTAATTAGATATATTTGTTTGTTATAGATATGGAGAGATGCTTCAAAAGAAAGGCGGGCGGTTTTTTATTATATATTTTATATTTTTTACATAACAAGTCAAACAAAAAAAATTAAAAAATCACCTAAGCAAGTCTCAAGCCCGGATAAAAAAGATTTATTATTTTTTTATGTGTTGGTAATTTGTGCCCCACATCAAAAAAATCATGGCTCCGTCAATGGGCAAACCATTACTAATTTTCTAGCAGGCACTTGTGACTGTTGAGCAACATCACCAAATATTAATAATTTAGCTTCAGTAGCATTTACAAAGCTCACCGTGTCTCTTAACTTCTGAACCATATGCTCAATGCTCCTTATCATGACCTTTACACCATCAAATTTAGCATATGAACATAACAACGAACATGAAAAAGTCTACCGCAAAAGAATAGCTTCTTCTTAAATATGAAGCTATCTTTCAAAAGTTTAATAGCCATGTCGTTGTTCACTGCATTGTCAACCGAGATAGTAAACACTTTGTTTTCAACCCCCCAATCACACAAATATCTATAAAATGTGCCAACTAACTCAAATGCAGTATATGGTGGTGGAAAATGCATAAAGCTTAAAACTTGTTTATGTAACCTCCAATTGGAATCAACATAATGCACAATCACTATCATATATGTGAAAGTTCGGGGAGGTTGTA